GGGACTGAGGTAGGTTAGAAGTGCCCATCAGCCTCCTGCTGGCAGCAGAGGGGCAGGTGTCAACCACTATACAGTTGCACGTATCTATCTATCTATGCCATATAGCTAGTTGTGAAGGGGCTGGAGACATTCCAGTAGTTTGGATGGATTTGGGACGGGACACTTGTTCAGTCCTTGTATGCTTCTGCTTCTGCTTCTATTCAATTGGCTTCTGCCCAGTAGCATTAGCTACTGGTGGTGTTCCTGTCCTCCCTGATAGTTCGTTATTAGCTTGAATAGCTCCAGCTTATAAGGATAGTTAGGAACTGATATAGTGAATAAATCACTACCTGTAATAATCAGCAATTTAGAAATTTGCCTCTATGAGAAGTGTTTAGCAGTCTTATTTGTTAGGGAAAAAAGACAAAGTGATAATTTCTGAAACTAGAAATATGTCTTTTTTCATTCAGTGAGAGGGGACTTCTACACTGAAATCATAATAATGTAATTCTTATCGCATCTTTTTAATTTATTCTGGTTTTAATTGGTATTTAGATGAAACACTGCTGAGCAGAAAAATAAAGTTCAGATGTTTTTTCTTTTAATTTTCAGGCTAGTCTCAGTAAAATGCAAATAGAAAGTACTAAATGAAGGAAACTTTGAAGTAAACATGCTGAGATGATGTGGAACTTAATGCAAGGCAGCAAACAGTCAACAGTAATAAATGATTATATAAGGACTATTAAATCTTAATTTAGTATTCGTACAGCCCCATTGGCAAACATAATTTCTTTGATACCTAATTGGACAGTGTCCTGTGACTGTGAGGCAAAAATGATGATCCAAACTCATATGTGTTCTGATAAATGGAGATATCATTAGCAATATGAAGTAGGTGATCACGACTTCTCTCTTTTTCATAAATTACACTAAATAACCATAATGCTGCAATTTAGTGGTCCAAAGTTCATCCTATTCAGCAGGCCATCCATAGTCAACAGTTTAAAGAAAGGGGACCTGCTGAGAAAATGGCGGTCTAATCAGATGCCATAAAATCTGGCTGATCAGATGAGTCCCATTTTCTTTTTTTGTAAGGAGATCCTAATGAAGCAGTGCATTGAGGGGATTCACAACTTTTGTTCCTCCGTTTGATTATTCAGGTTGGCTGCACCAAGTTCTAAACTAAGCAAGTGGAGTCTAATCCTCTGGGCTGTTTGCATACATGCTGTGTTTTACAGCAGACTTATTAAATCCCACTTTGCCAGCTACCAAATTGTGTGCATCTTATCTTCAGTCCGAATGATCAAAACACTAAAAGATGCGTCAAATCAAACCCAGTCATCAAATAGGAATTGGCTGTTATTGTCTACTCCCCGCTCGCTGGCTAATTTACTAAGCATAGCAAAAATGAAAAGTACTTCACGCTGCATGCTTCATGAATATCTAAAATGGTGCAAAGCAGATTGGATGCTGTATGCATGTTGAACCAAAGGCTGAACTTGCAAACTTTGGGTCTGTTCTTAGTTATAACTAAGTATTGTGGTGTTATATGAAGCAAGGGAAGCCTAGCAGTGCACTCGTTTCTGTCCAGTTGGGAGCATGCTTGTTTTGATTTGGCTACTTAAAAGAGATGCACTGTATTTTTAGAAAAAGACAGTACATTTACTTTTACACACACTTGTACTTAAATGGAGCAATGTTTGTTTTGCTTCAGCTGATTTTTCAGCTTTGTCTTCCCCTTTAGCATTCTCTTATAACTCTCAACATCTTTGTATCTTTGACCAGAGCTACACATTACTCCCTCACATAACATGCCTAGTAGAAAAACTAGCACTTATTTTTTTGTGTAAATAATGAAAACAGTATACCAAAGTATACAGCCAAGTATGCTAATGGAAAGTATCACCTATACCAAGTGTATTTCTCCAATTACAGATGCAGTGGGTTTCCTTTGCAGACCTAGAAATGGATGGAATTCTGCTCTTGCATTGCAGGAACCCAAACTCTCGAGCTATGCTAAACAAAAAGATAGCATACTGCAGTGCTGTCTTGTGCTTCAAATAAATCCTTCCAGTGATTACAATAATCTAACAAAAGTTGAGGTGACTATTTCAGTTTTGTATATTTTTTCAGATTCTTATTATGGTGGGATGTGCTTTGGTTTGGTATCTTGCATCAAACACATTTCTTTCTTTGTGGGAATGCTCTGAAAGTCTTTCATTGAGACTGTGGAACAAACTCAGCATTTGTTGCTGCCTCCTGACACGTGTAAGCACTTTTACATATATGCACACTAATTCATGCTGTATCTGAAACTGAGTTCATTTCAAAACTGAGCTCAATATGTTGGACATTGAGATGCCCTTCACAAGAGCACAGTAGTCATCTTCTGTTTTTTTTTTGTTTGTTTGTTTGTTTTTTTCCTTCAACCTTTCTTTTCATTTCAAGCTCTTTGTAAATCTGAACAGATCCTGCTAATGCTCTCACCCTGTACCGTATTGCTTTGATTTGATATAGAATTAAGAAGTCAAAATAATTGTGCTAAATTTGTCTTCTTTAACTGCTGTTTTAATGACTTTCATCTGAGTCCTTTCCATATCTTCCCATGTAAGCAGTTGATCCCCTACCTTTTATCGCCCTTCTTAAATTCAGCTAATCCCAATTGCCTGCTTTTGTCTTTGAGACAAGTCCTTAGGCATGCAATGCCCTCCCCATGCCAAGCTGTAGAGCCATCTCAGTGGCTACCCTCCTTATACCTGCTTGTCCTTGTCTGATGGCTCTGAAATTACCAGCAGAAAATGGGCTGAGAGAAACAATAGGGATCTCTGATGTTTATCCATCCGGCCTCAGACAACCTGGATCTGTAGCTATGTACTTCAGGTTTAGGGAAACCTACCCAAGGAAGTCTCTGGCTTTAATTAGGGTTCAAATGTGTCTGCTCTGCAGGTCCGTCTGTGCTGGTACCAGGTGTACATAACTTTATAATCCAGATTCACCAGCAAAGCTGTTTACAAGAGCACTTCCAGGTTAACTTTAGGTTAAGCAAACCTGAGTCTGTTTAAACTGTTCAAGTTAACCTGGCTTGCTCTGACCGAAGTATCTCTGGAAGCAAACAGGCGAGTAGCGCTGCTGTGGCTGAGGAGGTGATGACCTTTGGCAGATGGCGTTGCAGAGATGCTTGGGGGCAGACTGATGAGCAGTAACCTTTTTCTTACAGTTGTTTGTAGGGTGTTTGCTTGTCTCATTTTACTAGCATGATCTCCTACTTGGATGTGATTGTACCAGAACAAAAATACCTTTTTTTTTTTTTTTCCCCAGTTTACTGTATCATTTCTACATAAGTAGTTATTACTACATAAGTCTACACTAAATAAATCAGAATAATTCAAATGGGAAAATGCTACTTGTAAAATTCCCTCTGTAAAAGAAGCCAGAGATTACTAGGTTCTTGAGTCAGTAGCTGTTTTCTACACTGTGTAATGATTAGATTAGTAAACTTTCTGGAGGCTGATATAGATATTGGCATAATAAAAATAGTTAATTATGTTGGCTAATTAACTTTTTACCCATGCAGATTAAGACTATTTTCAATGATAAATATCCTTAAAAACACTTAAGAGTTAAGCTGTGTGCATATAACAGAAGGGAAATCTCTTATTTCTGATTACTGCTATTTTCTGTACTGTGAATGATTATTTTCCAGAAGAAAGTGAAAGTGAAATCATCTGTGTTCTGAGAGCAAAAGAGAACATCTTTCTGTACTGTTAATTTTTTAGCTATCTAACACACCCAAGGCTAGTTAGCACGCACAGAATTTGGTCAAAATTTGCTCAGCAAAGTACTTTGTATGAGGGTGTGATTTCAAAAGCCCTCAGATTGCTGGCCTGATAATCCCAATAACACCACCACTGTGCCAGTGCTGAGTGTTTTGGGAGAATTGCATTATTTGTGACACTTTCTCATTTCAAAAATCACAAAATGGACCACTGCAATCAACTGAGCTACTGCTCTTTCTCTTAACTGTGGTTGTACACCCAGAAAGGTAATGCTTAGTAAATGCTTAAAGGTAAAGAAGTGATTTTAACCATATTTCTTTGCAGTAGATACAGACACCTGAAATAGTTTCAAATACCAGAATATCATAGATTGTTTTGTCACCAGTCAGGATCTCTAGGATCCACAAATTTGTCAGCCATTTGATTTATTGTAGCCAAACATAGCTATTTAATGATATTAAAATATTCCAAAGTTTTAGCAAGTCAGATTGCACATGCTGTGATGGAGAAGCGCGTATCATCCTCTGTTTGTTCAACACTGCTCCCCTTGAATAAATAAAATATCCTAACAGTTTCCAGTGTCAAATGAACTGCTGATTAATGACTTTCAGTCTCTAGTTACACTGGAGAGTGCTAGATTGCCTGATTTCACTTGCACTTACTCCGTTCAAGCCTTTAACATAGGCATGTTGGCTATACGAGTTCAAATAAACCCAACGCAGAGCTGGGAGAGGTAGAGCAGGGCTTCCCCAGCCAAGCTGCTCATCACCTGGAAGCTAAAGCAAATCTGTCACAGTGCTAGCTGTCAGGGCTAAATGTTCCCCAGGCTGGAAATTTCACTTTTGTCAAACCTGAAGTGTCTTAAACTAAGAAGCTGAAGTGAGGTGTAATTGCCTGCCTGCAGTACAAGGTAAACTAACAAGTCATTGGGCAAGTAAAAGACATTCTGTTTTGGGTTTAGGTGGGTGATGCTGTGCTGCTGGAGCATCCAAACAGAAATAGGAAAGTGTGTTAGAGCGCTTTAAAGATCTCCATTGCAGGTTGTGCTGTTGACAGGTTTGAAGAAACAAGTGAAGCATTAAGAGCATAATTTCGAGTTAAAATGTTTACTGATCTATAATGTTACACGCTTGCTTGTTTTGTTTTTATTTACGAAAAACACCACCAACAAAACCCCACACATGTTCAGCCTTCTGTAGGTTTAGAGAGATGCCATACTTGAAATAACACTTTCTTGATGTTTAGGATTCCCTAATTTCCAAGGAAGAAAAGCTGATTATCTTCGGAGGCAGCCTCATACAGAAGTGCAGACCCCCACCAGCCTTCCGCTCCAGACTGGATCAATGCAGAGAAGTGCTCTTTGATGGACTTTCAGGCCCTGTGATCTCCCAGCCCTGGGGGTTTAAAGGATGAGCATATCAATCCAGGACCACTGAACTGCATTTCCATTGCATGAGGGCTCCTCCTCCTGGCTTTGTCCGGACAAACTCGGCTCCTCCTACTTTTGTCACTATTCTTTCATGCTTTGTTTAGCAAACACAAAAAAAGCTTTGTTTGTTGCTGGGTCTTTTTTAAGCTTTGCATAAAACAGTTTAAAGTGCCGTAATGCTGTGTACCTGTGATCACCTTCAGGGTCAAAATCAGTTTACAACAGATTAACCTATTTATCTTTTTTTTTTTTTTTTTTTTTCCTCCTGAGTTTTAATTTGCACAAATGCAGATTGGTGTTCTGATGAGTACAGCCTTCCTACTTTACTTCTGACTTTGCAAGAATCCCTAACTGTTGTTTTCCCTGGGAACAATCTCCTAGAAGACAGCACATGTGTGCCTGCCTTTCTTTATTGCTGTTGTCCTGCTGTGTTTCAGCATACTGAGCAAGAAGAAAACAGTCCACACGTAATTTGTAGAAGTTTTGGTAACACTGGTGCAATTATTTTACTTTCCCTAATAGTTGGCTTTAAAAATGTGCATGTTTAGACTTAGATTTTGATTTCAGCTGTAAAGTTTATTACAATTACAATGTAATAGACCCTCTGCTCATTTCTGGTATCATCTACCTGTAAAACACACAAACAAAAAAACCCTGCTGTGTGATATAGCCCCTTCTGCCCACTGCATTGGAGTAGTTTGAATCTAAGTCATGAAGTGAGAAATGCTCATTGAGTTTTGTGCATCTTTAGCAGTGAAGATCGATGAAATAACTCACCCAGTGGTGTGATGGATTCTTCATTATTTATCATCTTTAAAGCCATTGCCCATGCAGAAGAGCTGAGTCCACGGGAGAATAAATTCATAGTTACTCATGTTAAACTGGAATTAGCACTCTAGGCAATGTTGCAAACAACCCCCAAACCACTGCATGCCCACACCTTAAAAATCCATGAATTGAATGGTTCCCCAAATTGCCAAAGAAGCAGAGCCCTAAGGGAAGGATGTTTTCTGGTACTGTATTGCCATATCACACCCAAAGTCATCAGAGATGCTGGTGACTTTACGTTAGATTAAATGGTGGAATCCGGCACTTTAGGAGACTGTCATTTGTGTTAATCCTTGTTTGCAGAACTCAAACTACTCTTTTTACATTTCCCCAGAAAAAAAGTAAAAAAAAATTGCCTTCCCTACCCAAGAACTGTCACCGCACTCCTCGTCCCCCCATGTACTTCCTTTATTACGAAAGGTGGAGAAACTACAGCTCAGTGATGCTCTTTCCATATTCTTGGATTATGTTTTACTGAGGGACTCCGAAATATTGCAATATCCTGGTAGTAAGGACTGAAAACTCATGCTTTGACGAAGGGTGGCCTTGTAAACTTCTGCCAAGAGCCCTCTTTTCTGAACGTGCCAGTCAAGAGCTGGGGTGGACACCACAGATCTGTCTCAGCCAGGCCTCAGGCTACAGCAAGGCATGGAAAGAGCTCTTGTGGCCCTGATGGATGGGCTGATCCTAATGGACTCGCTGTAGCACTTGGCTATTATTGATCCCTGTGCATGTTCGGCTGTCCTATTTCCCAGAGCTGTACAAGCATAAAGGAAATGTTCTGAAATGGGTCAGGCCTTATTTCTTAGACTGAGCGAGTGAAGTTCCCCTGAGCTCAGACTGCTCTCTGGTGATTGCAGCTCCTGCCCTAGGCACTGTTGGAGGGCTCAGGTACAGTTTATAATCCCCTACTGTATGGGCAGGTCTGATCTTTATATCCTTCTTGGTCTCAGCTCTACAGCCCTGTCATTTACTGAGCCAGTGAGGGCTGGTTTTGGTAGAAAAACTTGCTGAAATTGTGTATTTTTCTCTCAGTTTAGTGAACTGGATTGACTGTTGATTATGAGAGTCATAACAGGCGCAGGTGATGGGGTGTGACTGTGTGGTAGAGAATTGGAGCAGAGACATTGGGACTATGGCACCAGTAGGTCTGTAGATAAGCTCAGCCATCTTCTGTGACTCTTCTGCATAATTACAATTCTCTGGAGTGTAAAGAGAGTGAAAGAGCTGGAGAAAATCAAGACAGTGCCAGCAAATAATACACTAGACTGTTTTGCTGCCTTCTGTGTCACGCATTCACAGCATGGTTTCTTGGTTGACCTTATGTTAAATCTAATTTGGCAGGGCTGAGGTTGTATTAAGTCAAGATATCCTTCTGCTGCATATTTTAAGGAGAGATACGTCTTTAGAGGTTAAGGTGGGGAGGCGTGGGACTGGGCTAGGACCGTATGCAGCCTTGTGCTTCTTTTGAACTCCTTGCTGCTGCAGATGCCTACAACCATGGCAGCAAATTTCCCCTTTCCATCTGCCATCAGAGGTGTCCCATTCAATCGGGCCTGGGTCTGACCAGGATGACCTATGCATTCCTGACCTCCCGACCATTCAGCGAGGCCACACATCCTGAAAACTTCAGTACAAAAGACAGCCATCAGCTCCCTTTGCTTAGCAACAACCATTACCGTGAGCACATCAGCCTGATGTTCTGCGCTGAGGACTGATTCTGTAATGCAGAGTGCAGTTCAAGGTCTCTGCCTTAGCATTCAAAGCCCTTTGCAGCACCGACTTGGTCATTTCCCCAAGGACAGCTCTGCTGCAAAGATATGGTGGTAAAATGTGAGGTGATAAGAAAACTTCTGTGGGGATTTCAGGGCTGTGGAAGCAAGGCCCATTGAGCTCCCATCAGATATAAATGGCTTTCCATGAGCTTTTCTCCCCTTGGTCTCTCTCCCCTTTGCTCACACACGTATACAGCCAAAAAAACCTTAGTCTGCACCAGATACCCCTCTTGTGAAAGAAAAGAGGTTTAACTTATACCGTTGTTTGAGTTTATAAGTGTTTCTAAAGCATTTGAAAGCAACTGTGATGGAGCAATAAAAGTGCCAAAAGAGATCTCGGGAGAATCCTGAGTTTAGTGCTGAATCTGATGGCCTCTGAGTCCGTGAATGACGTTGCATCCATAAATCAAAATGCTCCAGCCAGACCCTTTGGAAGGAAACCATCCTGTAAAGCAACATTCAAACCTGCAGACTGTGACAAAGCAATAAATCCAGTCCTCAAGAATTTGCTTTGAGAAGCCCTATTGCATCTACTGTCTTGCTAATGAGTAAGTCCCTAAGACTCTTAGAAATAATCAGGTCAGAAAAGACTGTCACTTTTAATGTGGTAGTGAACTATAGCTCTGAGGAAACTTCTGTGTTCATATAGAAAGTAGGAGGGGGGATCTTCTAAATATTTGGAGGGTATTGGGAGTCTTCTTTGCCTTTCAAGTATTAACAGAGAATCGTGCCTTTTAAGAATAATAATCTGTTTCATTTGAATATAACAGATTTTTGTAGCAAAATTGAAGAAAAACAACGCAACAACAACAAAAAAAAACACCTCAATCCCTGTATGCAGAGAATCAGCTGAAATGGTGCTGTGGAGACCCATCTTCCATTTTCAACAATTTCAGCTGTGGGATGTTACCCTCCCTTTATTTCTCTACCTTCTGTCTTCCCTGCTTAGTGTTTGGCAGGCCTTTTTACTCCGTGCTGGTGTGAGTATTCCTTGTTTTAGTCTAAATAAGCTGTGTTAGCTTAGGTAATGAAAATATTATTTTTTTTTGCTAACTGACCTTGTTTTGATTGAAGTGGCACACAAGCAGCTGGAAGAGGCCACGTGGCCTGAAACAGTTCAGTCTGTGGCTTTGAGCCTTGAGCAGAAGTCAGCCAACATTGTCACCTGGACAGAACAATTGTCCAAAAACGATCCCTTTTCCTGTCTGCACTTACGAATGGATTTCTTTCTCAGTCTATTAGTTCTGAGCCTTGACCTGCACCATCATTCATTCTAGGTGATGGTATCATTTAGAACTCTTGTGAGATAAATATTTCTTCAATAACTGTTAATTAACAGGCACACCATAAAAAATATTCCATGTTCAAACACAGTAGTGTTTGAAGAGCAGAACTTATCCCTTGTAAATCAAAAGAACTTTTTTCTTTTTCTAGCAAGTCCTCCACCTGCTCAGGAGCCCCAGGAGTGCGTTACGTTACATACCAGACCCAAGTGTTGGGACCAGTGTGCAAAGTGTGGATTCACTGGCCTTACCCATGTCACCTCCAGATCTCTGTTATACCGTGGGTGAAGCACAGTGAGAGAGGGATGCTGTGTGTCCTATCAGGAAGGGAGGTGCTTCTGTCAGATGGTCAGTTTGAGGAGGTAGTTGGAAAATAAAAGTTATTGTGAAGACCTTTCTTGAAAGTACTGAGGAAAGGAGAGGATTCTGAGTCCAGCAAGTCAAAGCAAAATAATCATAACTTACAGAAAATAGCCATGAGAATTACTCAGAAATACTCCTGCTATCTAAACCATAAGCTATAAATGCATACTTTTTATTAATTACATTAACTTAGTTGTTTTTTTTTTTTCACTTTGTTGGATATGAAGTTCTTGAAAATGAATGTGCCAGTAGTCTTTGTAATGTTAGCAAAATCCTGCATCTCTAGACAGATGATCTTTAAAAAAGAACAAAGCTTGACTCTCAAGTGGTCTGAATCCAATACTTTAGTTGGGAATTAATTCTTAGTTCAGAAATGATGATTGGCTAATTCTATGGAATAAAAAAGTTAAAACCAAAACATGGAAGGAAGTTCTAGGAGTTCTTACAAAAGGAAAAGCACTATAACCTCAGTAGTAAGTTTAGCTGCTTGCTGTCACATTTTAGAGAAGAATTCCTGGCATTACTTGTTTCAGAGTAGTAGGCTGGAATATGAGAGGGTATTTCCTGATGATCTAAAATTACTGAAGAATAACAGATAACCATTAGAAGCACGGACAATTGCTAGTTTATAGTAAAGGACCAGGGCAATTAAGTTCTCATCTTTCATTCACAGATACTATGTTTGAAATCCTTCAGTCTCATCTTCATTGTAATTGTCACCTGTAGCCCCTAGTTCGTTGGCTTTTTCCTCTTTAGTAAAGGAAAAGAGTAGAAAAATTCACTGTCTGTGATGAACAGTGAGAACAGAACCAATAATGATTTTTAATGATTGAAATCAAGGAAAAATGTGGTACAGTGGAAGATTCTTCTGTATTACTTCAAGATATATGAAGTAGTTCCATTCATTTTTGCCAGAGTCACTAAAGATTTATGGCCTGTTGCTATGATGGGACTGTCTGTCTATGTTTCAACAGATGGAAAACCATAGCATATCCTTGCATCCTCAAAGGGAATCAATTCATTTTTCATAATTTGAGAATACTGCAAAATACATAGATGGTATCGTGTGTGGAACAGTCACCAAAGTTTGCGAGAATTCTCTGGCACTCATTCAAGCTTCTAATTTCTTTCTGTTATAGCTCTAATCTTGTGTTTCAGAAGGGCTGCATTTTTACAGTGAAATCTAGAAATAAAAAACAGGGTTAAAAATGTCATTAGAATTATTGCCAAAAATAATGCAAAAATGCATTATTTTTGCACTGTACTTTCCCCTTTACCAAAAAAAAAAAAAAAAAAAAAGTTGATAACCACATAATCATGTTTCTGTGGCACTGTAACAATTTTAGCAACTGTGAAGTGCTGTTCTATACTGTTTCTGATGATTTCTTTTTAAATAACTATCAGTAGCTTCTTCAGATACCTGACACAGGTTATTATTGTTAGGATGTATTTATTGTGAGATGAGACCTGCATAAGCAATATTAGAATCTAGGATTTTGAGTAATTAAAGGAATTTGCCTGAACAGGAAAACCAGATTTAGCTTTTTAACGTCGTTGTAATTACTCGTTATCTTCTGTTATAGGATGTAGTACTGCTCTCAGGCTGTTCATTTTGATACAAGAAAACCCTTTCTTTCTGAATCAGTGTGTATCATACCATGGATTGCCTCTGGTGTTTAGTCTACTTACTGCCGGCTGTCTCCCAACAGAACATTTATGCCATGTGTATGCCGCAGACTGAGAAATCCTAACACAGCTGGGACTATGGATTAAGCCGTGTAATTAACTGAAATTGTGTCCTACCCATTTTTCAAGTGAGATTATCCTGAAGAGCTGAACACCACCTTTGCGTCCCAGGGGTCTGTGAAGTCTCACTCTCCTAGCTCTCCCTTCACACTTGTCTGTGTTGTGCTGGAAGCCAGCAGTGGGGTAGGCTCTTTCAGTGTTAACTTTTAACTCTGTATAAG